GAGGCTGAGCAGCCCCTTCTTGGCGAGCTGCAAGGAGAGGGCCAGGCGTCCAGGGCTGGCTGCGGGCGAGGGCATGGGTGTGCGTGTGTGTGTGTGTGTGTGTGTGCGCGCGCGTGAACATATGCATGACATACCTGTGTGTATGCACACAGGTAGCACGTGTTACACGTGGGACACAGATGTGGCGCATACAAGATCAGAGTCTGGAGCTATTAAACTAGATGGAGACTCAAAAATATCTTTAGGCCCAGCCGGCGTGGCTCAGTGGTGGAGCATCGACCTAGAAACCAGGAGGTCACGGGTTCGATTCCGGTCAAGGGCACATGCCTGGGTTGCGGGCTCCATTCCCAGTGTGGGGGGTGCAAAAAAGTGTGCGGCCCAGACCTCCGCCAGCTGTGTGCTCTGAGACCTCCGGCTGAAGGGTATCACAGAGATACAAAGCTGCCACCGAAGAGAAAGGAGTGGGATGGCATCTCCCCCTAATGAGTTTTTCCGTAAGAACTCACTAAGAAATCGGAGACCAGTAAAAATGTGTTTTAAAACTTCACTAGTTTCGCCCTAACCGGTTTGGCTCAGTGGACAGAGCGTCGGCCTGCGGACTCAAGGGTCCCAGGTTCAATTCCGGTCAAGGGCATGTACCTTGGTTGCGGGCATGTCCCCAGTGGGGAGTGTGCAGCAGGCAGCTGATCGGTGTTTCTCTCTCATCGATGTTTCCAACTCTCTATCCCTCTCCCTTCCTCTCTGTAAAAAGTCAATAAAATATATTTAAAAAATATACCTTCAGCCCGGCCTGTGTGGGTCAGTGGTTGAACGCCGACCCATGAACCAAGAGGTCACGGTTCAATTCCCAGTCAACGGCACATGCCCAGCTTGTGGGCTCCATCCCCAGTGGGGCGAAGGGGGGGCGTGCAGGAGGCAGTCTCTCTCTCGTGGTTGTTTCTATCTCTCTCCCTTCCTCTCTCCATCTCAAATCAATAAAAACAGCCCGAGCCGTTTTTGGCTCAGCGGATAGAGCAGTGACGGCGAACCTATGACATGCGTGTCAGAGGTGACACGCGAACTCATTTTTTTGGTTGATTTTTCTTTGTTAAATGGCATTTAAATATATAAAATAAATATCAAAAATATACTTTGTTTTATTACTATGGTTGCAAATATCAAAAAATTTCTATATGTGACACGGCACCAGAGTTAAGTTAGGGTTTTTCAAAATGCTGACACGCCGAGCTCAAAAGGTTCGCCATCACTGGGATAGAGCATCAGCCTGCGGACTCAAGGGTCCCGTGTTCGATTCCGGTCAAGGGCATGTACCTTGGTTGCGGGCACATCCCCAGTAGGGGGTGTGCAGGAGGCAGCTGATCCATGTTTCTAACTCTCTATTCCTCTGCCTTCCTCTCTGTAAAAAATCAATAAAATATTTTTTTAAATCATTAAAAATGTTTTTAAAAATGCCTTCGGTACCTGCCTGAAGAACCTGAAGCAGATTTGTCACTACGTCAACAGGAACACAGAATGTGTAACCCACCGGCCAAGCTGCAGTGGCTAAAATCTCCCCGGACAGTCCCAACCCACCACTGCCCTGACCCAGGCCCCCTCCCCTGGGCCCCCGCCCCGTGGCCGCCCGGGGGCCCAGGTGTGAATGCGGGTGTGAATGCGGGTGTGAATGCGGGTGTGAATGCGGGCCCCGCCCCGTGGCCCCCCCGGGGGCCCAGGTGTGAATGCGGGTGTGAATGCGGGTGGGAATGTTGGTGTGAATGCGGGTGGGAATGCGGGTGGGAATGTTGGTGTGAATGCGGGTGGGAATGCGGGTGGGAATGCGGGTGGGAATGTTGGTGTGAATGCGGGTGGGAATGCGGGTGGGAATGCGGGTGGGAGTGTGGGTGTGAATGAGGCGGGTGATGCTGAGTTCGGTCCCCCTGCCCGAGGCCTGTGCCCTGGGAACAGCCGCTCACCTTGAACTTCTGCAAAGCGTCCTGGTGAGTCAGCCCGGCCATGGACTCACCGTTGAGCTCCAGAATCTCGTCGCCTGTGGGGCCGGGAGAGATGGGGGCTGGCAGAGGGCTGCCCAGCCAGGGACCCTGAGACCTGGCCCCCTGCCCAGCGTTTGCACCAAAACACCCTGAAGACATTCTCCTGTGGTATCTGCCCCCCAGGAAGCTGTGGGGGGCAGCGTGACAAGCCCCCTGGCACCTCTGGTCTTCCGGGGGGGCAGGGTGTTAGCCGGGCACATGTGGCCTGGCCTGGTCCCCGTCCACCTCCTGCCCCACCTCCTAGACCAGGGGTGGGCAACCCCTGGCACGCGTTCCAAACATGGCACGCCAGTAACTTTTGCTGGCACGCGAAACCCTCTCTTATAATCTTCCATTTACAATTTTTTTCTTAATATCGACTTTTTTTATTTTTCGGATAAACTCACTGTAGGTGCATCTTAGATAAATAAATAATTTTACATAACATGTATACATTAAAAAATAAATGTATTTGTCATCATCATAGACTGTGTTTTTATCACTCAAATGAATTTTATTATCTCTTCAAGGTTCTTCACATACGTACACCTTAAGAGATATCAAGTAGGCGTCACATGTTCTCAAAAAATTAGGGTTGGCACGCAGAAGAATTTTGAGCCAGAGATTTTGCTGGTTTTGGCACGCACTCACAAAAAGGTTGCCCACCCCTGTCCTAGGCGCTCCTGTGGCCTCCTCTAGCCTAGCCTGTCCTTGTCTCGCTGTCCCAGCGCCAATAAACGTTCCCTCATAGGACTCGCTGGTGAAATCTTTCCTGCACGAAGTCCAGGGCTCACACACTCCCAGTCGGCCCCCCACAGACCTGCCAGGGCCATCCCTGTGGTTATGAGGGAGGGGCAGGGACAGCAAAGGGAAGGGAGGCCAGTGGGTGCCAGGAGCGGAGAGGGACCTCGAAAGAAAGCAGCGTGAGAATGAGGGGGACTTGCTCGGTCTCTGGCCCGGCTGGACGGAGTGTGCAGACCCCGGTGCCCCAGGCCTGGGGTCCACGCAGGCGCACTCCACAGGCCGAGCACCTGCTTGGCTGGGGGTCCTGGGAAGGGCTGGAAACGTACCTTCCTGTAGCCGGCCGTCGGCCGCCGCCGCTCCCCCCTCGAAGATGGTTTTGACGTAGATGCCGATGGGACCGTAAATGCTGTCTTTGCCCCCCACGATGCTGAAGCCCAGGCCCTGGGGGAAGAGCGGCCATCAGAGGGCCCTGGGGTCCCACTCACTGGGCAGCCCCAGGGAGGGAAGAGACAGCAGGGGTGAGGGAGGAGCTCAGGGAGGGGAGAGACGGCAGGGGTGAGGGAGGAGCTCAGGGAGGGAGCTCTGGACGCCACAGTGGAATGGGGACCCAGGACCCTGAGGCCGATGGACTGTGGCCCCTGCAGACTCTGCTGCTCTGCACACAGAGGCCCCGCCCAGACTCCCTGCCTCTGACCTGACCTCCCCCTCCTGCAAAGTGGTGCCAGGTCACCTCTCACAGGCAGCGTTTCCATAGTAACAGACGCCTGACGACAACCAGACCTCCCCCTCCAGCAGCGGGAACCCTGGCTGCCTCCCTCGGGGAGCCCACCCCCTGGCCCAGGCCCCCCTGCGGCCTGAGCCTCCTCTCCCCCCTGCACTGCGGCCCTCCCTCTACCAGGCCACGCGCTGGCCTCACTCCCACGGGGCACCCCGTGCGTGGCCGGGCCTGGTGGACAGAAGACCACCCTGTCTCGGACCCACCGCCTGCTCTGGGCTGGGCACAGGCGCCCACACACTGAACTGATGCAGGCCCGTCCACGTGAAGCCTGCCACCCTCGGTCGCCCGCACGAGTCCCGGTGCCCTGTCCATTCTGCGTGCATTAGACCACGGCCAATGACTTAACAGTGAAGTCTCTTTAAAATGCTTCTATCTAAATTCCAGGGGGAAACAGGCACGTATTTACTACCCCAGAAGCGGGCTGCTGGGATACACCCCAGGCCTGGAGACAGTTACCCTGTGATCGGAGGGGCAATAACCACTCATCCCTCACCCCTGCCGTCCCTTCCCTCCCTGAGCTCATCCCTCACCCCTGCCGTCTCTTCCCTCCCTGAGCTCCTCCCTCACCCCTGCCACCTCTTCCTCTCTGAGCTCACCCCTCCCCCCTGCCCTCTCTTCCCTCCCTGAGCTCACCCCTCACCCCTGCCCTCTCTTCCCTCCCTGAGCTCACCCCTCACCCCTGCCATCTCTTCCCTCCCTGAGCTCCTCCCTCACCCCTGCTGTCTCTTCCCTCCCTGAGCTCCCGGGACCCAGAAGGAAGGAGGGACGGTGAGAGAGCCTGGGATGTCTGGCCCCGCCCCCTGCCAGGATCGCCCTCCCTGTGTCATCCTCCCCGCGACACACAGCTGCTCAGAGCCTGGTGTCTCCCAGAAGCTCCCCGGCCAGGTCCCCTCACCTTGGCCTGGCCCTTCATCAGCACGACGCTGGAGATGACGGACGCCTGGGCGCCCCCCGAGGGCGGGGCCAGCTGCGCTGTGGTCAG